AATTAAGAAAAATTATTCTTTATTTCGGTTATATATACTTTATACACTGTATGTATAATGTACCGAGAATGATACAATACTTGGGAATTTTTATAGTGCCAATTGCCTAAGATGTTGCTAATTAAAAATATCAAGAATAAAATTAACCACGCAGGTGCCACTAATAATATGTCGTTAACAAACCTATAGTAAAAGAGTAACGGAAACCGAATCGCAGACAAAGCTTTAACCTCCAGTTTTCGCATAACTAGATCCGCGATGATGGGAGACAACGGAGAGCCCATAGGAGTCTCATAATTCTGCCTATATATAACACTATCAAAGAAAGTAGAATCTAAAACAAATTGAACCGCTTTGAATTTCTCCTCCGGTAAACAACAATCTCTAGAAATAAATCGCCAATGGTCTTTAATACAATCCATCGCATAGTCAATGGGGACGTTAGTGAAGAGGACAATCCACACAACATCCAATGACATTAACTGAAATTCTGCCTTATCTTTGAACAATAGATTAAATTTAACGATCGATCTTATTAAGTGTATTGAAAGTAATATTTAACAGTAACAAATTGCCTATTGATGAGCAGATCTTAAAGCACTCACTTTCTGTACTAAATAACTTAGCTTCTTGTTTCTTACATTGTACGGAAGTAGATAGGAGTTTGTCATAGCTAGCGAAAGACACTAGAGTTTTTTTAAGATATGAATGATAGAATTATTTTTATTTTTATTTTTTTCATGTGGATAAAGGGAATGTGACGGTAACATTGGATAGACAGGTATATCCTTCTAGGATAAATGAGATGCTTCAGGATGTGAATACTTGAGATAGTTGAAAGGGATCCGACAAGGAGGATGGTAACGGACTTATGCGCTTTATTAGTTAGTTAAAAGGAAAAAAAAGTATATAGCTAATTTCACATATAAAAGTTTGTTATGTAATGATGGGATACTTCAAGCCTACGCTCTTCCGAAGATATATAAGCAGGACTATCCCTTTCGTATAATAAATATTTTCTTCGATAAATAGCCCTTTATATTTGTTAGCGGTGTTTCTTCATAATGTTATCATAAAAACAATTCCTATAGCAAATAGATTCATATCGAAAATAGTTTTAAACTTGTTAAGGAACTTGATGGTAGAGGACGTTTGAGTGATGAATTAATTAATTCAGTCATTGGATGTTGTGAGCCTCTTCATTAACGTCCTCATTGACTATGCGATGGTATTAAAGATCATTCTCGATTTATTTCTAGAGATTGTTGTTTATCGGAGGAGGAATTCATGAAAACGGTTCAGTTTGTTTTAGATTCTACTTTTTTTGGTTTTGATAGTGTTTTATATATAGGCAGACTTACGGGACTCTCCGTTGTCTCCCATTAGCGAATCTAGTTATGCGAAAGCTAGAAGTTAGAGTTTTATCTTCGATTCGGTTTTCGTTGCCCTTTTACTATAGGTTTGTTGACGACATTTTGGCGGCATCTGCGTCTTCGATTAGTTTTATTCTTGATATTTTTAATTCTCAGCATCCTAGGCTTCAGTTGCACTATGGAAGTAGGCGTGATAGATTGAATTTTTTGTTATGATTTTTTGGATGATATAGGAATAATGAGTTGATGGAGTTCAATTGGTACCATAAGTCGACTTTTTCGAATAGATATTTGAATTTTTGATCACAGCACCCGGTTTCTTAAAAAATAGATACAATCGCGGAATTAGTTGATAGGATAGTTTTCGAATCCTAAATTTCACCTTGATAATTTGTATTTCATTATTAAAATATTGCTAGAGAATGGTTATTCATTGAACTTTATATTTGAGAATATTAACAATCGTTCGAAGAAAATTATTATGGCTAGTAATAGGAAGAATTGCTAATGATAATAAGGTTGAAATAGTGCAGCCTTCATGGTTCATTGTTCCTTTTATTCTCACGAATAAAAGGAACAATGAATTCCTTTTATTACTGAGAAAATAGATTGAATAACGAGCGTATGAGGTATTGTTTTATAGTACTAATAAATTGCGAGAATTCATTAGAGTACAATTGATTAAATGAATTCATTAAGGACTTACCTTTACCGCGTGAGAAGAAAGAATATTGTTTATAAGATCTCGTGTAAGAGTTGCGATACAAGTTATGTGGGGCAGATGTGTAGACAGCTGAGATCAAGAATCACGGAGCATAAGAACCATCCGATGGAACATCTCGTAATGTCATAATGGAGCATCAGTTGCAAAAAGGCCATGATTTTGATTGGGACAATGTTACAATACTAGACGAGAAGCCTTACTACAGGAAGAGATTGATTTCAGAGATAATATTTATCAGGAGACAGATCCATAGACTCAATCTGCAGACGATATGGAGGGACTTCTCAATGCTTATCTCACAACATAGACAAGCTATAAAGGCTTGAGTTGTTGTCAGTCAATGTCGTTCGTATGCAGTCTTTCTGGCGTGTTTATCGATTACTTTTCAACTTTCTTGTTCTTGGAATTGATTAACGCTGTTATATTTTTCCATTTATTACTTCAGAAAAGTACTAGCTAAAAAACAAAAAGTGACTCCGTGTCTGATACTGACTGACTGACATTATCAGGAGCCGGTTCTTAAATTATTTTTATAGTAATGTTTGCGATATGATGTTCTTTGAACATGGTGAGCGTCCTTATATTGGGAGTACAAATTAGTCCGGTCCGTTTTTTTGTGCATTTATTTCAAAACTAAATGAATAAACAGATCAATTAAAGTATTGTCCATCGCTGCCTACTACTTTTTTCTCTCAGGGTCTCAATTTTCGAATTCCATCTCGAAAAAATAACTCGTCTTTGGAGGTGAACCAATTTTGGAGCCAATTTCTGCGAAAGATGTGAATTGGTGACTTGCCAAATCATGCTGCATCCTTCGGAACAACCAGGAATTAGAAGGAGCAATGGAGAATACGGCGGGTGCGGTAAAACATCCTATTTGAACGTTTCCAAATATTTTTTTCCGACTTTAGCGACTTGAGGCTGAGCGTTATCATGAAGAAGAATAACTTTATCATGTCTTTGCTCGTATTCCGGTCGTTTTTTTTCGCAATGCACGACTCAAACAAATCAATTGTAGTCGATACCGATCGCCCGTAATGGAATCGCTAGGTTTCAGCAGCTCATAGTAAACAAGACTCTTTTGGTCCCAGATACAGAGCATGATCTTCGAATCATGAATGTTCAGCCGTAGTGTTGATGTTGAGATCAATGACAACGATTGACTAGGCTTAGCGTAGTATTTTTTCTTCTTGGTTGTAGAATATCCATCTCCATCTTCTCATCTCCAGTCACAATCCGATGCTCTGTTGTCTTTTAATCAGCTGTTCACAAGTGAAAAATCGCCTTTCAACATCTCTCGATTTCAGTTCATAAGGCACCTAATTTCCTTGTTTTTGAATCATTCCCATGGCTCTCAATTGTACAGAAACGGCTTGTTGAGTCCCCATATCCCCAATGATTCTGCAAGCTCCTCTTGCGTTTGACTCTGATCTTCTTCGAGTAATGCCTCTAATTCTTTGTCTTCGAATTTATTTGGCTGTCCAGAGCGAGGCTTGTCTTCAACGCTGAAATCTCCATCCTTGAAACGTCGAAACCATTCCCTACATGATTTATCAGTTGGTGCAGTGTCACCATAAACTTCGACAAGCTTTCGATGGGCTTCAGCCGCACTTTTCTTCCTATTAAAGCAGAAAATCAAAACCTCCCGCAAATGCTGCTTGGTTAACACAAAATTCGACATTTCAAACACAGTAAAAATCAAGGTTTTCGTATGAAACTCAAAGCGATATAAACTGAATATTATTAGCAGATGTTTAACCTCTCTGAAACCGCCAAAATCAGTTGTCACTATAAACCATTCACAACAGCTGGAGCTATCTTTAGGGAAACGGACCTAACTAATTTGTAATTGTATTTGTAATTTGTAATATTTGCTAGATAATTAATTATAATCTTAAAGTTGTTTGATAAATTAGTTCTCCATATTCTATTTTATGATATTTTCTAGTTTCTTTTTTTCTTTTCTTTTTTCTTTCACTCTTTTTGATTTTAATTCCGACATTTAAATTCTCAATGTAGGGGAGCCATAACAGGATAACTTTTATTCACAATTTTTATATGTTAGTTTATGTTATCTCTGAGGAAGACTCAAAAGTGAGTCGAAACATGTAAGCGCGTTTTAGTGAATAAAGAAGTTTCACACTTCATAGGTATATTATTTGCGTGACGTCTTTTGCGCTTGATTTCTACTGCCCGTATTTTTTCCAGTTCTTTGATTTATAAGAAGTTTTGGTTAGTTTGATTTGTTATACGGATCAACTAAATTTGGATTGGTACCGACCTTTTTGAGGAGATTTCTAAATTTTTTTTCAAACCATCCTCTCACAAAAAAAGTGGAATTATCATTGGTTTAATAGATTGAATTCTTTTACTCTCAAACTCAGAATACCATTCAAAAAGTTGACGATGATAATTGAAATATTACAGAATGACTACCTCTTAATTTTATTTTCGAAACAATTAATAACGGAGTCAAATGTATTCTACGAAGGAAGATCATACCGCACAATAACTTAGAAGAGAAAGATGTTCAGTATTTCCATCGTGGTTCACTGTACCTTTTATTCTTTAACAGATAAATTCATAAAATTGAATAGTGACGACATCAGGGTATCTTTCTATAGTTCAGACAAATTACATAAATACATTAAAGTACATAAAGACCCTCAACACCATCTTTCAAAAATAATGTATAAAATCAGCTGTAATGATGTATCATGTGTGGAACAGAGGGCAAAAAACTTAAAACAAGAATTAATTAACACAAAAATCATATTCGATGAAACACATCTGCTTGATTAGTGATAACGGAACGTGATTATGTCTTTGATTGGGACAATATTATAAAATTTTAGACAAAGATTCTTGTTATAATAAGCGCTTAATCTCAGAAACGTAAACACAAAACTTACATATCGCTAATAAATAAAATCTGACATTGCAATACCGAGATGATTTTATTATTTTTCAATCAGTGTTCATTTGTCGAGAAAGTAACATACATGTTTAACACGGATCTTTTTTTAAATATTTTTTGGTATATTAATTTTTATCTCTATACATCGTTAATTTTATATTGTGATACAATTTTCCACTGCGATATTATTTCATTACAAACTAACACTATTGACGCTGAATAATTTAATAATTGACGAGCATCTTCTCGACATGCGAAATTTAAATGGCCAGTTATTTTACAAGAGTGAAGAGCTTTTACTCGAATTTTTTTTCTTTTTTGTTTTCTTTTAATTTATATCTAACTTGACTTGTCATCGACAGAACATCGAGAAATTTTAAATAACTGATCGTCCAGCCGTTTTGCGAATAATTTTCGTCTCTCTATAAAATATCTCTCTGATCTTCATTAACATGTTCATAATTTTATTTCTTTTTTATTAATTTCTATTTCGACTGCGTTTAATAACAATAACATCACCTGTTCATATACAACTTTCACATCTGAAGATGGCTCAATGAGACCGAAACATGTAATGTAATATATATATATATATA